CCACCCAAAAAAGTTTCAAGTAAAATTTCGTTTTTTTAGGCTAGGATTAGGATTTTATTATTAGATCGATGTTTAAAAATACTCATTATAGCAAAAATTTATAAGGAAAACTTTTAATTAATGCGCAGAAGGCAGTTTCATAGACTAAATTTTGGGTTATAATCGATTTTTGACAAAACGAACGTTTGTTTTGAATTTTCTTGATTGTGTTACGTTACACCTGCTCTTGAGATATGATTGGTCATGAAACTTTTTTGGGTGGCGATTTTACCCCAATTGGGAAAACCTGTCCTGTAAGCCAATTTTGAGGCATCAATAAGGCGAGTTTACCCCTGGGAACATTGTGATATGACGTATTAAATCATTGTATATAATCAGTGTTCTGATTGTTTCTATATTATAGAAACAATCAGAACACTGATTGTATATAATGATTTAATACGTCATATCACAATGTTCCCAGGGGTAAACTCGCCTTATTGATGCCTCAAAATTGGCTTACAGGTTTTCCCTTGGCAGCACTCATTTAACCATACATCAATAACTTCATTTGATTTATCGTCACAAAATTTGTTCAACATTACATATAAACCATTTGGATGTTCTATAGAATAGGTGGGTAAACTCCGCAACTCCGATATTAAAAAATTAATGATTACTAATTATTAGCAAAGCTTATTGCTTATATTGCCCACCTATTCTATAGAATATCTCTTTTTCAATGGCCGGATATAAAAGAAATCATGATTTATCCGCTTCCAATGATAATGAAGAAAACCTATTAGTTGATAACAATAGTGGACGATCAAAACGCCAACATTCAGAAACTAATGATAAAGAAAGCATCTGTTGGAAATATTTTGAACCATTCCAAGTTCCAAGAGAGAATGGAATAGAAACAAAATGTATGGTTTCTGGATGCACAACAAAATATATGTGGTGTGGATCTACTTCTAATCTTATTAGGCATCTTCGAATTAACCATGGTATAATAAAATCTTCTTCATCAACTTTAACTTCTACGACATCAAACACCAACTTGGTTAATTCCGAGCTAAAAATTAATGTTCCATTAATTAACCTTTTTATTTCTTCTGGAGTACCTCTTAGTTTTATTGATAATTTAAAATCTGCTGGGTTTATCAATCCACAATACGAATTCCCTACTTCTAATATTCTGGAAAAGCAAATAATCAATGCGTATAATCAGTTATTCCTTCAATTGAAGTTAAAAGCCCAACAAGAAAAATTTGTTATGCTCTCAATTCATGGTAAAAAAATTGCTTTGGAAAGATATGTAATAATCACTTGTCATTGGCTAACTGAAGATTTAGAACTTCATGAAATATTATTGTGTGTAAAAAAATGGT